CCACCTCTCATGGATGGTTACACAATGAGACGTAACCAAACTACTGGTTGACTTACAGTCACCATGATATGCTCACCTGGTTGCAATAATTTTTTATGGTGAATTATTCGGTACAGCAAAGTACTTTGGCCCTTATCTTTACCCAGTCATTCTGTAATGAAGAGACATGGGTGGAGCAGGGTGGCTCTGTGGCTTTGTCTCGGCTTCATACCTTTTCCCCCATAACCTGCAACAGTTGAATCTGAGCCAGGAGATCTACCGTATGCCCCTGCTGGGAAACTTCCAGGGTGGTGGCAAGTCAAGGTGGCCCAGCTCTGCTGTTGTGGAGTGAGGTGGTGCCTCCGCTTCCCCATAGGTAGCCCCTTTGTTCCTGGGAGCAGGCTTAGAACTTGTGACACCTTGATGGAAGACCACTTGTTACAATGTGGAGGCAAGGGCAGAGCAGACAGTGCAAGCAAGCCTCAGAGAGCTCAGCCATGTGAGACTTTGCTGAACCTAGCTACCACTTGGGGCTGGTGGGCTCCAGAAACATGTTGCAGGAGTTTGAGAACTTCAGGCCTCAGAGGAGATCAGAAGGAGAGGGAAGGAAGGAAGGTACGGGAAGAGGTAAAACTGGCACTGGCCAGGATAACTAGGCACCCATGTGCCTACAGTTGGAGCTTTAGCAAAAGCACTGGGACACCCCAGGACTCCTGAACACCTGCACCCCTAGGCAGTGGCTAGAGAGGGCCAAGAAGCTGCCAATACTGCAGAGAAAAAGGTGTGAGGACAGAGGGAACCTAGTTTAAGGTCTGCTGCTAATCTGTTTGTCTTGGCTTGATTTTCCTCCTCCCCTTTGTCTCCTCCCTCCCTGGTGTCTTCCATGCCCCGTCCCAACCCCCAAGGCAGTTTTCCAGTGTTAATTTTGTATGAAAAGTCCTCTAGGTTTACTCCTTTCTGTGTGGTCCACATTGTGCAATCCACTAAGGTGGACTGGCCACAAATGGCTACTGAGCACATGGAATGTTGTCAGTTAAAGTGAGAAACTATTTTATTTTAATGAATTTAAATTTAAAAACTGATAATTAATTCAGTAATTTAGAAAACTTTCAAGTGTGTTTGGAGCAACTGTTTTTTCAACTGTAAATTTTTTGAAATCTAAGTATGGATCAAATATTTACAAGGGAAGTATCACATCCAAATCAAGATGTGTTATAAGTGTAAGATACACACCAGATTTTAAAGATTTACTGTGGGAAAATTTAAATACCATTAAAATACTGATTACATGTTGAAATTTCAGTATTTTGGGTCTGTTGGGTGACAAAATTATTAAGAAGTCACTGGTTTTATTTTTTTTAGTATAAAATGTCATGTGTCTAGCATTGTATTTCATTTCCACTGGACTGCGTGCTGTACGTTGTTTTAGCTGTGTTTAGATGAGGTAATGGCCAAGATGAAGGAGAGCTTGAATTCCTTCTGCCACCCTGTGCTTCTCACCAGTGTGCTCCCCTGACGTCGATCCAGGTGCATGGGGAGAAAGAAGGGAGTGCTCACTGCTCAGTTGCAGTAGTGCCTTCTGCAGCTCTCGCCCAATGGGATGGGGGCAACTCTAAGGCATGAGCATGCCAGGGGAACTCTGCCTTGCTCTGCCCATGTCGTCACATCTGCAAGTGTGCACAGGAAGAACTGAGTTCTTGAGTTCCTTGAGTTGCAGCTGAAGAGCCCATCAAAACAGGAGGGTTTGCAATGTTTCTACTGCAGAGCTGGACCAGCTGCTTCTCTATCTCCCAGAGTGCATCCCTCTTAGTTCACCTATCTCTGTCCCAAGGTCATTAAGGTGAAAATTGGAGGCTTCGCTAAATAACTCCCACAAATAATGATGGTGCCTACTTGTAACCTGAACAGGACTTCCTCTTTTAGCAAACTGGGATGTGAAATCTGGTTTTAGACAAAAGGTTATATAGAGGGTGATAGCAAGTTTTGCACAAGGATCCAAAATAAGGTAGTAAGTAACCAAAAGAGGCTGTCTAGCTACTGCATGCAGAACTCTCAGAACAGACATGGGACCTCTTCCCTATACTCATATCCTTCTGGTTTGGAACATCTCCCTCTTCTCCATCCATCTGTTCAAGTCTGACTTATGGGGCTTTTTGTTTTGTTTTTTTGAGATAGGGTTTCACTATGTAACTCAGGCTGTCCTCAAACTCATGATCCTCCTGCCTCAGCCTCCTGAGTGTTGGGATTACAGGCAGATGCACCATACCCAGCTCTGATTTACTCTTCAAGGTCCAGCTGACACTACCTCCTTCCTGAGCCTTTCCCTAATTACTCTGCTATGTAACCCAGAGCTGCACACACCATAGGTCTCATCCTAGCTAAGTGATTAAATCCATATGTCTATTTTCCTTTCCAGCCAGATTATAAGACCTGAACACAAATGACAAAACTATTTTTTCTCATTAATCATCTGTCACTACAACAGGGACTACAAAATGCTTTCCAGAGAGTTATGTTTCAACCTTACCTCCAAAAGAATCAGTCTGATGTGAAAAACATTTTATTATAATTTCTTATATTTACAGTGTATGTTATCATTACAATCATTGGTACAATAAATACAGAAGTGCTAAACAAACCATCATCACATCGGTCTACAATCTGAGGCACAAGGACTGAGGGGTGCTGTTGACCACTGTGCTTCCCCGAGACTGGCCAGGAGGCCTTCAGAGAGTTCCATGAGGGAGAGGAAGTTAGGGTCTGAACTTGAAACAGGATTAAGAGAGTCAACAGAGTACATCGTAGAATGGCTCTTAAAGCAGCAGCTATAGGTTTTTACTGTTTATACCAGATGACACTAAAGCAGAATAAAGAGTTGGAAAGCCCCTGTTAAGAGGCAAAGGAAAGCCTACAGAAGTCAGGGCCTACCTCAGAACCCTCCCCACAAACATGTGCCTTTTGTCACCTCTGCCCACTGTGTGCTGAGCCTATTGCCTGCCCAGTCCTTGAGAAAGGCACAGCAGAGATAAGGCAGCCATACTTCATATACCATGGCACTGGTTTTCTGTGGCTGGTGGTGGTGGAAGGAGTGAGAATCTGAAGAAAGCTGGATCTTCAGGAGTCTTGTAGAATTAGCAAAGAACTTGATGGTGTTTGTTCTTGGAGCATTCTTTCTGCCTCCCTGACTTAGGTTTCTTCTCAGCCACTGAGCACCTTGGCTGTGCTGAGGGGCAGCAGGGAAGGAAAAATGCCACTGTTTTCACCTCCCAGTAATTGCCCTTCCTGTGAACAGTCCTTGTGCCAGATACAATGATCTCTCTGTTCTCTCCCAAAACTTGTTCATGTATACAGTGGTCTATGCTAGTTTCTGATTGGCCAAAAATCCCACCTAACTCATGTGGCATGGGCACTAGTGTTGTTCTTACTGTCATTTGATGGTGCATCAGGCATGCCAGTGGCGAGGCTGGGATGCCATCCCAGGCTATCACTTGTGCACACACTGACACACATCTGAGCCCCCATTACGTCACCTGTAACTCTGCATAGTGAAACAGGCCACAAAGACATAGGGCTGGCTATTAAAAGTTGTGGCAGTGGGAAAGAGATTGTTTTTCAAGTTTACAGAAGGAAAATATCAGAAATGTGTGTTTCAAGAGGCCATTCCATGCTATCAAAATGAGACTCTGTGAATCAGAAAGTTCCCTGTCAACTGAAAGGAGCTAGTGACTAGGGGCTGGAGGCCAAGGCTCCTTCTCACTGCGGAACTGACTTGTCTCCACAGGGCTCTCACTCTATGGAAGGAAAAGGAAGAATGAGTTGAGTCTTCTAAGAAACTGTCCATGACAGAGAGGGAAGAACACAGAGAATCTTAGCAACATACCATTATTATTGCTTCTTAAATACCAGGACCATGCTTACCCCAGCACAGATACCTTCCTGCTTTTATGGCATGAAAATAAATTTTAACTTAACAGAAGTGGCAGAAATGACATTCTGGCAAAGGAGACAGGGCACTACAATCATTTTGCTTCAGCCTGCTTCCTAAAGGTTCAAAAGCAGATTGGTTCATCCCACAACTCATGTACCCTAGGAGAGAGAAAGCAACTCTTTTTCAAGGAACAGCCTAGTTATTTTTTTAAATCTGTAGATTACAAAATACAACGGCCTTTAGGCAGGAGAGAGGATTAATATTCAGTCCTTCTCACAGTGTGGCTTGGTAAACAACTTGTGATTCCAGTTCTGACTCCAAAGGGAGACTCTTCCAGACCATCCATGTTTTCTCATTCTCTCTCTCGACTCCCTTCTACCCTTCCCCCCTTCTCTCGGTCCCTTGTCTCCCTTTCATCCCCACCAAGAGATGGGATTCGAGACTCCTTTGTTCTAAGGTTCAATCATCATCTCTAACCCAAAGAACTGGAAAATGTCCCAATATATTACAAAGTACAATTTGTTTGCATTTTCTTTCTGACAACCTGACCCTTCCTATCTCAGTTGACCCCCATAGTGATGAGGTCAGAATGCAGGGTTTGTCAGAGCAGAGGAAAATCCAAGGGAGATGATGTCTCCCCAGAGGAAAGAAACTGCATTTAGAAAGTATCACCTAAGCAGAGAGTGCACATTTGAGTCTGGAGGACTGGAGAAGAAGCAGAATTTCTAGGACACTTGACAGCATTCCAACAGAAGCCTCAGATGGAAGTGGTTTCCAAACACTAACAGCCTACCAGCAGGTAGCTTAGTTTGTGACTTAGAATCCTGAATGCTTAGCCACCTCACAGTACAGCAATCAGCTCAGAGTTCCTTCCTGCCTTCTGGTCCAGGAGCTCATCCCATTCACGGGTCACGCTGGGTGGCTATGACACCAGGGCAGGAGGGAGCCCAGCTGGAACATTCCAACCCTGAGGATCTGGGGTGTTTACAAGGTGAGCTCCAGAGACATCTTGAGGTATTTCAAATGTCCAGAGAGTCAGTGTGTACTGTCCAAAGCAAGATCTTCCCTTGGACGTTGGAGAGTGCCAGGGACCTCAGGCATCGGCCTCAGACTCCTTTTTGATGGCTGGTTTATAAATGACTCCCTTCTTGTCACCTGTTTTGCTACTGAAACAATAAGAACACATAAATCTTGTTAGTTACAGTAGAGAGAATGAGCCAGAAAACAACCTGACTCAGACACAAAATGAGGGAGTTTGAGAAGTCAGATTTCTCTCTTTGGGATCTTTCCCAATTCTGTGGGTGTTGGGAAGGAATGCCCCACATAAAGCATTAACCAAAACAGAACCTATCCATTTTCCAACTTTTTTGGGGGAGTGGGGTACTGAGGGATTGAACTCAGGGCCTCGTGCTTGCTAGGCAGGTTCTCTAACACTTGAGCCACTCCCCATTATGCTTCCCACATAGCTGGGATAACAGGTGCACAGCACCATGCCCAGCTATTACTTGAGATGAGGTCTTGCTAACTTTTTGCCTCAAAGCAAGATCCTATCTCTGCCTCTCAAGTAGCTGAGATTACAGGTGTGAACCACTGCACCCAACTATTCTTTTAATCCATAATTCTAGGCCTGCATTTTGAGGGTCTTATTAATACCTCTAGTTCAAACTTTTGATTCTATAGTTCCTGGAAACCTTCCTATTTTTCATACCAGGAAAAATAAATTGTTTTAGGAAAAGCCAAGCATGATATAAAACCATGGACAAAGGGCATCCGTAGCTAACATGAGTGAGAAATAAGGTTTTACTTCATTTTTCTTTTTTGAATTTATAGAAGAAAAATCAGATGTGAAGGTCTTAATAAGAAAGCCTTGTGGTGGAGTAACTCAAGTGGTAAGAGTGCCTGCCTAACAAGTGTGAGGCCTGAGTTCAAACCCCAGTGCTGCCACAAAAAAAAAAAAAAAAAGTCTGATTGTGTTTAGGCATAACCCTCAAACCAACAGACTTATTCCCAGTCACATGACTTGTCAGCAGTGGCAGCAAGGTTGGTACACCAAACCAAATCTGAGCACAGTGACCCCTCGAGTGGCCATGTGAAGGAGGTTGAAGCACTGGTGTTTTGGGAGCAGTGCTGCTAGGATGGCATTGGTTCAGATTACGGGTTCTTCCTTCACAAGGCTGCCTCCCTAATCAAGGACACATAAGTCACCCTTCCCATTTCAAATCCAAACCATCTCACCTCTTCTTCCTTCTGAAAAGCCAAACAGACACTGCCAGGACAATACAGATGCCAAGAACGCCAGCCAGGGCCACTGAAAGGATGATGCCTGGTAAAGAGGCAGGGGCACAAGTTACAGTCCTCCCTTCCCCCTCATCTCAGCCCACAGCACATAAGTGTGCACTCATGTCCTAGGGTATTATCATCCTCCGAAAGATATTGCCTCATCTTGTTTCCCAGATTCTAGTCTTAGACTTAGTGGGACTGGCTGGAGTACGTAGAGGGGGCCATTTGCAAATTGTAGTGGATTTCCAGCAGGGGTTCTCAAACTTGCACAAGGATCATCTGAAGAGCTTGTTCAAAATGTAGATATTTTTCCCAACCTCAACCCTCAGAGACTTAGATTCAATCTGTTTGACATGGGACCCAAGAATCTGCATTTTACCAAACACCTCCAGCTGATGCTGATGCTGATGCACATAGTGGTCCATGAACCATGTTTTGAGAAACCCTGGGCTACAGAATAAGAATGTATTCCATCTTTACTCACTGAATTTAAGGACAATTGGGATGCTTCTATCAGTTTTGCCCCCAAGTTCCACTGCACAGTCCTAAGCAGTCCCAAACATCCAAGCCCACGGTCAAGGTCATATGGCCAGTCATTTGACCTCCACACTGGGCTTAGGTATGTTTTCAGGCAATGCCCTCCCACCACGACCAACAGAAGGTCTTAAATAGGCCTTTTGAATGTACACATGCTGTAACGTGATTAGGTTTTTCATTAGAGGAACGTTTGATTGGCAGTTCATCTTTGAATTAGAGAGTGACGTGAGAGTAAGACTCATAGTAAGGATGGGGCCAGGAGCCAGAGCGACAGCACAAAGAAGCAGAGAAGAAGGACTGGAAGAATCACAGGCCCAGATCACACTGAGAAACATGGGATCACCCAGCTGCAGCATGCACGGCCGGCTGGCCACATACCCACACTCAGTTCTGTGTCCGGAAGGATTCCCTCTTAAAATGGGGGGAGGAAAAGATTGGTAGTTAATCTAGAGTCAAACCATGCTGGATCTGACCAATGTGTTGAATGAAGTTCCATCTTTCATTTGGTTGGCAGTACAGGGCTTTACTCAGGCAGGCTGGGGAGTGGGGGTTGTCACCCTTGGCTTGGGTGACTGCCTGATGGAGTGGAGGGAATGCCACCTAGGGATTCATCCTGTGACCCTTCCCTTCCTTCTTTTGTTCCTTTACCACAGCAGTCGCTTCACTAGGGCAAGATTTCACTTAAGTGGCCAAAGAGGGAAGGTAAGGAAGCATAGGAGCCAGTTTACATGGTCAGGCTATTGTCTACTCGGATACCTGCCCATCTTCCTCAATGAAGAAACTGCCACTAGCCTTCTCCCCCACCCCATCCACTCCATTATTATGGTTTGGTTCTATTTTGTTTGGCACTACTGGGAAAAATCCTCCACTATGCCAGCCTCCGTTCTCTGCTGCATGGAACCAGGAGATTACAACTCTTCCCAGGGAGGATAAATGGAGTAAGTTAGGAGTCCTCAATGGGGCTGAACCCAGCCATCTAAGGCAAAATCCCACAGTCAACCTACTATGGACCTACTCGGGGAGGGCCATCTGCAAATGCATCTTCCTGACTGAACAGAGGAGCCCAGTCATAAGGTCTCCTGAGATACCCCCACTCTTGCTTCTCTGCTTCTTCCAGGTTCTGTTCACCCCCTTTCTCCCAGCAGGTCATCTATCTAAAGGAAGTCTCTGTTGACCCATACCCTCTTCTCTGGTGGTTTTCTGATCTCGACAGAAACATATCTGTGTGTGTGTGTGTTGTTTGTCCTAATTCACACTGGAAGTCAGAGTTGTACATGTAGTGGGAACTGAGCCTGACACAAAAATCCTATGCCTGTAGAGCCCACTATGGCCACTGAGACCCTGGGAGAACCTTGGCAGGCAGAAGGCAAAGACTCACTCTTTGGTCACTTGACCCAAGAGGATGACATGAGGCTGAGGAGTAGTTTTATTCACCTCCCTTTTCCTGTCCTATGGCCAACGTCTGGCTGATTCCCCAGGAACCATCAGCCCTATTCTCATCTCTACTATTCCTTTTCAATCTCACCTTGATCCTACAGAGCCTTTCCAAGGCAAGGCTGGCTCTGTGTCCCTGGTCTGGCTTCCCTAGGTAGCCCTGGGCAGCTGTAAGATAAGAGCTGGCATAGAGAGAGCTGTCCTCAAGGACAGGGTGGCCTGTTCCTATTCTTGCTGACCTTCACCAGCATCTCATGCCTGCCCCCTGCTCCCTCAGTCCCAAGTGGCAGATAGGGTGGTCCCTGGCCAGATTCCTTGCCCCAGGCCTTTTCTTGTAACCTGATGGCGAGAACCAGTCTGTGGTTTGGGAGGTGCTCAGAACAGGGACTTCCAGCTGGGGAGAGCTTCATGCATTGTACAACACATGCTCTGTTCCCTGCCTAGCCTGTGGCCTCTGCACTATGCAACTTGGTATTTGGGTTTGTTGTATTTTGTTTAAAGATACCCACAGACCTTGTGCCTTGGGGTAGTAAACAAACAAAATGAAAACCCTGGCTGTGGTTTCTTTTCCAAGCCCTTTGATGAAACGCACTTTTGTTCTTTGTTCCTAAATCTCCAGAAGCTTGAAGCGCCAAGCCAGCTCTTACCACACACGGCCTGTAACCAGCCAGCCTGGCCGCTTGGCTCAGATGTCCAAACTGGACCATCTCTTTCACCGTCGCCTCAAACATCTGAGAGGCACACAGGCCCCCAAATAGCTGAGCAGTGCCATTCTGTGGCCTAAGGAGGTGCCTTTGTGCTGTGGTCTTAGGTCACTGAGCCAAGTCTGTGGAGAGCAAGGCCCCAGGGTGGTGGCTTCTCTGGAGAGGGAGTCTGACTTTCCCCATTCGCTGTGCAGTGCTTTGACTAGACAAGGGCCTGTAGGACTCCAGCCCACACTTTTACTCCTGATGGCTACTTGTCAAGGACTAAATTGTCTCTCCTTGAAAACAACGAAATGAGCCAAAACAGCTGTGGAGACAAGAAAGCTCCAGAGGTGGGGACAGGTGTCTTTCTCAGTTAAGACTTCAATGCCACAAAAACAAAGCAGCTTGACTGAGCAAGCAAAGAACATAAGCTGCTAAGGGGGAGGAATGATGGCTTGGGTGTCACCTAATAGCTCTACCTCCTGTGGTGCCCAGGGCAGGAAGATGCGGTTGGAAAGTGCTCTACCAACCACCAAGGAAGCTGAGTCTTCTCTACAGAGATGAAGCAAACCCTGTGGGATTGGGTCCCATTGGCAGCAGAGCCAAAAACATCTGCTAATTAAAGGGAGAGAAAAATCAGCAAGACTTTCAGAGACTGGGAAAGAACTAGAGTCAGGAGAGAGAAGCCAAGTTGCTTCACAGCAGAGTGCCAACCAGGCAAAACCCAGCCTAGAGGGCTGCTATATAGCAGAGTCATCCAAGATGATGAATGGAAGAGCAGAAACAGGTATATTCAGATTAAACAAAGAAGTGGCTTGGTTCTAAATGAGGATGAAGCCAGGCAATTCCCACCAAAGAATGAGGAGACAGAGAGAGAAGTGCAGACAGGCTGGTTCACAGATGTGGCCCATGAGAGCTACTGGATGAGAACTCAACAGAAGAGGCTCCTGAGTTGGTTAATGGGAGGGTACGTGCTGGGCAGACATGGGACAGCTACCTGCTGTCCACAGTGCTGGGGTTTGAGTCAGGGTGAGCAGAGGTAGGACAGTACCACACACAAAAGGAAATCACACAGATACAGAGAACTAAACTGTTGCACATCTCATCCAGGGAGGAACAGACACCTGGAGAAGGTCAGGAACTGCTTGCCTCAAGGGCTTTGCTACCTGTTCTGGCTGGCTCAGGAGCTGTGTCTTCGATTCCCATCTGGCAGGATGAAGGATGCTGGTTAACTGCTTTTGAGGTCTTCTGAAGCCCCAAGTGTAAACACAGACAAGTCCAGCCCGAGGAACAAGCTCTCATTTACACATCTTGGGGTACCTGGAACAACAGTCTTGTATTTTCTAGCTCGATTTTCAATTCTGTGTAACTGTAGAATGCAATCCTTTTCCTTTTAAAGTATTATTTTAAAATATGGACTGTTTTTATAAGCTACATGTTACGTAGTGAAAACACATATATCTATAGAGGCCAAGAGAGCTCAGTCCTTAAAGTACATGAAATCCAATTTAGGATTGTAAAGACTCTCTTATGCTCTTTTGTAAACCATAGTCAAATAACTGCAGTGCTCTTTAAATAATACTTTGATAAGAAAGCAAGGGAGATGCCCTCAATAACCACCAAACATTGCTGTCTTTGGAGGGCTATTTAACTGGGCGCTTTCCCTGTTGTTAACACTATTTGGCCCAGTCAAGAAGTAATTTCTACAAACCAAAAGATACCACCAGCTTGCACCAGGGAAGTGGTTTTATAACAACTATGTTAGAGACTAAGGGTTTTGTCTTCCGTACTTCAGGAATGCAGTCCCACAGCAGAGAGCCACATTGTCCTGAGATGTCTAAATCCTGGAGGAGCAGGGGTAGTTACAGTGCCAGCCCTTGGTACTGTGAACTGCCTTCAGTGGCCCAGGCTGTGCTGAAGGAGCAATGGGTGGTGGGACTGGGGGTGGGGCGGTTTATCCCTATGCCAAGCCAGAGCAATAGAAAGCATGACACCGTTGCTAGGCAGCCTCCTCCCCACACCCTGGAAACGTGACAGAAACTTCTGCTTTTTAATTTTTCCTAAACATAATGGGTTGATTTTAACACTGTTGGCAAATTGAGACTAGAGTAAAATAAGACTTAAAAAAACCCTAAAATTTGATAAGTGGCTAGGCCTATGTGTAAATCATTCTGCAAAGAAGACACTGGTGAGGAAGTGGAATGTAAACGGGTCAGTCACATTCTTTCAGCAAGCTTATAATGAGTGCTGGGCAGAGCCAGACATAAAAAATGAGTGAGACATCAAACATCCCTTCCTTAAGGCCTTGTAGTTTGTGTATGATTTATATTCAGTCTTCTTTCCTGTCTTTCCCTCTCTCCCTTTCTTCTTCCATTCTTCCCTTCCTCCATTCTTCCCTTCCTCCTCCTTTCCCTTTCTCCTCCTTTCTTTTCCTCCTTTCTTTCCTCCCTCCCTACCCTTTACAGTATGGTAGTACTAATTACCTGTTGTGCCAGCTACTACACCAGAGACGAGTAAGTTGGTCTGGCAGCACTGAAGGAGACACTAATCATCTCCAGGAGAACAGGGAGGGCTTCTGGGAGGATTTGATTGAAAGAATTTTCCAGGTGGAGGATGGAAAGAGCCACTCCAGACAAAAGGAATAGTGTGTACACCTGCCGTGCTGAGGGGGGCTCTGTAGCTTGTGGGGATGAGGCTGAGGGGGCAGGGCTGGGTGCCCCCTCAGATGGGGGAAGGTAGCTGGGGTCCTAACCAAGGGTGGGTCCAGCCCTCTGCCCAACCCCTCCTCCCGCTGTTGTTTCTGAACATGGTCTCCCCTGTGCCAGAGCTCATTGGTAGGAGCAAGATGACATGAACAGTGGGGTTTTCTGACCCACCCCCCGATGGAGCACAACTGTGGCTGTGGAAACATGGTGGTGTGTGGATGGACTGGGATTCACTTCTTAGCATATTTGAAGATTGCTTCAGACTGTTCAGTCCCCTGATCCAGGTCTAGGAATTTGAAGGAAGGATCTCCTCTGGTTACTCATTGGATACTTTGGAAGAATCAGTGATACTCTTTCATCTAATACCTTTTATTTATAAATAGAAACTTAAAGAAACACAAGGTCAATAATCACAATACATATTCTAGTCTCAAAAAATTAATTAGCCATCTTAGCTGTGTTAGATTTCTCTCTCTTTTTAGGATTTTCTAAAACTACACAGGTCCCTCAGGGACAAGCAGATTCTAACCATGCTACTCTACAGATAGGCTGTTGGTGAGCACCCTCCCCCTTGGACTGTCCAGCACTCTTTTAAGTGTGCCTCATCTGGCTCTGGTTCCATGGCAGATGACATGCAGTTGCTCAGAGCAGGCCTTCTAGAGACATGATTATAGAAACTGTAGGCCCCCTTCTGTCCCTCCAGCTTCCCTTGCTCTGACATGTTGAAAAGGGGGGTAGATAACCCAGGTGTGCTGACACATACCTGTATTTCCAGCCTTGAGGGAGCAGGGGGTAGGAAGACGTGCCCCAAGGCTGGCCCTGAGGGAAAAGTGGAAGACCCTATCTGAAAAATAACTAAAGCCAAAAGGGCTGGAGGCATGGGTCTAGACAATATTAGTATTTAGGGTTATTATCCGTCACCACCTGAACCTACAGTAGTGGACTCACTGGCCAGGAAGAGGGATGAGCATCTACCTTCCTGGGTCATGTTTGCCCTGTCCTCCCCTAGGGTATCTGACTCTCATGAAACCTGAACTAATCCCAGAAGAGTCCCCTCTCCAGGAGCCCACCCTGAGAACAAGCTCAAGCCTTACTTTTCAAGAGCTAAAAAAGCACCCAGCCTGACTTATATTTTGTTAACTAAAGGCAACAAGACAAGACCTAGAAGAGAGAAAACTTCATAGAAAAGGGAGGAGTGGGGAGGGGATTCTGAAGAAAGTGGCTCACTCAGAGGCACCTGGACCCCTGAGGAAGAGTTTGGATGCTTCTTCTAAGGGGACTGGTTCTCACTCATGCCACCTTCCCTAGCCTCACCTAGTTATATGGAAAGGACATACAGGAAGATGGGAACAAGGCTTCTCTTGGGTTTGTTCTCAGTAACTTCAGTCTTATGGTTTCAGGATAATCATCACCAGACTCAAATTTTCATACCATAATACAACTCTGGGAAAAACTTGGCTCTGGGTCTAGGAGAGCCATTGACCAACCTCTGGGGCAGTGGATCTCAGTTGGGCCATTTTCTCTCCTCCCATGGAGATACTTTTGGCTGTCACAGGGGGGAAGATGCTACAGGCATCTAGTGGGTGGAGACGAGGGTTGTTGCTAATGCTACATACAGTGCATAGGACGATCCCTCCAACAGGAATTACCTTGTCCAAAATGTCAATAGTGCCAAGGTGGGAAAACTTGCCCTGGTGCTAAGTTATACCTAGACTATAAACCCCTTAGGACAGAAAGTAGGTTCCAAACTCCCCTTTTTTGCTGTTTCTAGGGAAATAGCCAGGTCAAGTTAAATGATTTAGTCCCAGTTGTCCCAATTTGGTTAAACTTCAGATCTTCCCCCTCAGATGCCTACACTTTCTCTCCTAGAGGATTTCCTGAATTTTCTGACTCCCTAGCTCTTGTTAACTTCCAGAGGAAACCCCAAGTAAACCAGACCCTGATTACAAACGTGTCTCGGTGGAAGAATCTACAAATAATTAAGTCTCAGTTGCTCAAGACTCATGCAGACAAATAGGCTCACACATAAATTGCAATGGCGTGTTACAGTCTGAGACCCCTCCACATTGGATGTGAGAGGCCCTTGTGAACACAGGCATCTCTGGGCAGAGGAGATGGAGGCTTCACTTCTTTGGGGCTGCCTCACCGCTGCTCCTTGGGAAGCAGCCCTGTTTGCTGCCTATGTCTTTGAGAAGTAAGAGAGGTATTCTGGCCGCGTTTCTATAATCAGCCTCCAAACGAACAGGTCTGCATTGAATTGCCATGGATTCTGTTTTAGTCAGCTAAAAGGAGAAAACTGGACCCAGCCTGGGCTCACAGAAGCAGCATCTCTTATCAACTCATGCAGAAGGGTCAGTGGCAAAGCTGCATTGGGGTTTGATCTTGATGTTCTATGCCAGGAGTTGCATCTGCAAGCTTCTGCCTAGCGCCTTCTCAATCTACCCCAGCCAGATATGGCAAATCTACCGAAGCGCTCTGCAGCAAACCTGGCTGCCCTACACAGCCTACAAGCAGCTACTTAGACCTGAGCCAGTCTAAGAAGATGGCTAATTATTCCCAATGGCACGGTCCATCGTTACAAGTGAGGGTCACTTTTAGAAGTCATAATCAAATTCCTGCCCGGTTTCTTCTGATCCTCTGTAACTGCCCTCAAACATTGTTCCTGCAATGTAAAGTTGGGATTGGCAGGTGTTAGTGTCTACTTAGAGTTATCACATATTAGCACTGAAAGGACATTACATCACTTCTGCCTAGATTATGGTTGAGAAAACCATCGCCAAAGAACAGATATGATCTGTCCACATCATACAGCCAGGAGAAAACAGGCCTTGAACCAAGGTTTCCTCACTGTAGAGAGAGCATTTGTTACCTTGTTCCCAGAGATGTACATAGACTAGCTCAGAAAACAGAGCTGATAACAGAGCCCTTGAATTACAAGAAAAATTCTACCTGATTTATGTGGGCAATGTCTCTTATCTCCCGGCAGAACTGTATGGAGTTCCATTTAACTGTAAATGCTACATAATCCAATTAGAAGAATGGGAAGAGAGAATGCCATGTCTAGAATAGATGAGAAAGGAAAGCATCGTGGGTTTTCAGGTTTTTTCCTGGGAAAGAAGTAGGAACTCATTATCTTACAGACTCTCAGCTTTTAGAAGGGGCCACTGTTCACTGATTCAGTTTTCAGACTGAGAAACTGAGGAAAAGAGAGGATGACTTTAAGCAGTGATATCTGAAGAGAACACAAAACCAATCTTTGGGGGGCAGTTCTTAACTGAGTGACTGACCAAGAAGGACATAATGCTGACCATATGAATAGGTCAATTCAGAAGGGCAAGTTTTCAAAGGTTTCTGGCAAAGGCCTTGAAGCAATCTTCATCTACATAACTAAACTGAGTAGGTGGCAGTTATAATCTCACAGAGCAAGAAAGGACCAAAAAAGTGCACCAGATGAAACAAGGGACATGGATTCTCTGACAAGTCAGTCATGGTATCATCTTTAAATCAGTGACATAAGATGATGTGGAACTTCCCCAGATCTGTCCTGCTTCTGACAGCTGAAGATCACCAAGTTGGGAAAGAGTCAATAATTAGCAGTGAGAAAGTGGACTCGGAGGTCTGGAGAAGGGCATGGGTGCCAAGAGTATTCCCTGATCCTTTTCGCCAACCCCCATCTTCCAACAGTATTGATGGAGGAACCTAGCAAGTAAAATGTTAATACTCTTCTGGGAGTTATAGTTACAGATTTAAAAGGAACACTGAGCCAACATAGAATAGGAATAAACCAAAGTACTCAGTTTCATTCAATCTGGAATGTGTGTGCCTGTGCTTATGCAAATTCCAAGGAGATGAGACAAAAGACTGCGGACCTGAGCACCTTCTTGCTACTGGGCCCTGCTACATTCAACCCTGAGCTTCTGTGACCATGGGCCTGGAGTGAGCCCGCAATCTTACATAGGAGCACCACTGTTCACGGGTGGTGTGTGAGTCATCCATTGACTTAGGATGGAGTGGCTGCTGCCCTTGATGCCAAGAAAGCTGAGGGTAGGAAGTGGGAAGTCTGAGCTCATGAAAAGGGACCTATCATGCATCCTAGGAGAAGGGATCATTCTTCAGAGCAGAGAAGTCCCCAAGAACACCTCTTTCCCATCTCTGTGGGAGACTCCCAGGCTTAACAACAGCTCTGGTCCATACGCCTCGAAGTCCTGGCCTGGGCTTTTCTGTTAAGGCTCAGGGAGGTGGAGAGCAGTGAAGGAAGACCCCAATGACACTCACATCATATCTCCATCATAGAACCAGACGCTCTTAACCAACCTATGTAAGGCACTGGTGTCAGAGACTGGTTGGGTAGGAAACACGTCTGGCACCACACTGCCCCCCATCCACTGCACCCCTTACCTTGTCGGAAGGAGATATACACCAGCCTCTCATCAAACTTCTGGACCTGCCGGAAATTGTTGATCATTTCTTTGGGGGAAGGGTCACCCACATGTGTGCAGTACAGAGCCGTCTCCAAATCCAGCAACTGAAGGGAAGAAGGGACATAGGCCTCATGGCAAAGTGATCCTCTCTGGAATGGCCTCCAGGGAAAGAACACCTGGGAAAAGCCCCTACATTGCTTGGTGGAGGCTTTACAAAGCAGTGGAGCCAGGCATCGATGGCCTGCACCTGTAATCCTAACTTCTTGGGAGGCTGAGATTGAGAGGATCATGGTTTGAGGCCAGTCTGGACAAATAGTTCACAAGACTCCATCTCCAAAATAACCACAGCAAACTGGACTGGAGGTGTGGCTCAATCAGTAGAGTGTCTACTCTTCAAGCATGAAACCCTGAATTCAAATTCTAGTCCCACCAAAAAAAAAAAAAAAAGCAAGTAGTGGGAAAGTCAAGAAACCACTTCCTTCATCTCTGCCTCCCAGTATCTCTATAACTGGGTGCTGTGATTCTGCATTGCCAAGGCTCTGGGAAGGAGCAGTGCTACTAGCTCCTGATCACCCCAGAATCTGCTCCCACAAAGGGAAAGCTGGAGGGACCGAGGAGGGCTCCTTAGCACCTCACCAAGACAGAGCTTCTCTTATGAACCTGAATTGAAACCCAACTCTTAAAGCAGTGGGGCCCAGAACAAAAGGAGAGGACTAAAAGGAGACAGGTAAGAGGTTCCCAGGTTCACTGACTGCTGGCTCCCTGGCACGTTCACACACCCACAAGGATGATATAAATGGTTTCCATGGAAGTTTCTGGGCTAGGATTGCTCTGTCCCACACGTTTCACCTCGGATTCACTGCCTACTCATTCCTGTCTGCCTACTGGCTGTCATGTATCTAGGTTTCTCAGCTAGAAGCTGAAAGTAAAGAGCAGGAGTGACAGTGAGGGCTGTCCTGAACCACGACTGAGGTGGGGGTGAGCCAGTGTGTATCGTGGTCCAGCCCCTCTCCTGAGGGGCCAGTTTTCTTCTTTATGCTTTTTGATTGTGAGTAGAGGCACAGATTGCCATGACTTTGAACTCAGAAGACCTATCTTTGGGTCTCAGCTTTGTCACTAACTAGCAAGTGATCCTGAGAGCTTCTAACCCCCAGTTCTGTCAGCTGGAACATGAGAGGCTTAGAAGTAGTTGCTAAGGACTTAGCTGCTAAGTTTGCACTAGACTGTGAGTTTCCTGAGGGCAGTGATCTTCACTCACTCACTCACATAATTTAACCTAATGCAATCTTTATTCTGCCTCCCAAGGGAACCAGGCTCTCTCCCACCTGGGAAGTGAATACCACCCAGCTACCATAGGCTATATTAGCAAATGCAGCCTTACAGTTATTTTTTAAAACAACTGTGGGACATGTATTCATTTTCCTAGCTTGACCATAGCACCTCTTAAAGCTCAGCCTGCAATTTCTGCAGGGTTTTCTGGAGAGGTTTTGAATACCTTCCAATGAAACCCTAAGTGAAGAAATGAAGTCACTGATTGTGACATAGTTTATGACAAGGACCAAGATGTCATGTGGATTCTGGCTCAGATGGTTACCTGATTCTGGGAAATTTGCACAGGGTTTCGGAAAATGGTCCAGAGTACAGTGGGGTTGCAGGGGGGTGTGGTCAGGGACCCCTCATAGCGGTAGTACTCGTCAGGCCTCTCAGGAAGCAGTTCTTCAATGTTGAACCCTGGGATAAGCTTTTGTTGGCCTGGAAAGACATGTTGGGGGTGATGGTGTCAGCATTGCTGTCTATGGAAGAGGTATAGCTGACCATAGTTACTAAGCCTTAAAATGTGAACTCATTCCCTTTCTGGGCCATCTAACCCAAAGACCTTGTCACAACATGGTTCAACCACCTGCTGCTCTTAACCTGATGAACACAGCACCCACCCCTTGTATTATTTTTCTTAAGGTCACATAGGTGTGACCTTCTCTAATAGAGAGTGAGTAAGCATCCAAGGACCCCTCACCTTTGTACTTCACATGTTGAAGGTGACTGAAGATCTTGTCATATGATGGATTGAAGGAGCCCATCTGCAACAGAGACCAAGCAGGTTGAGCTGGGACAGAATACTCTAGGCTGAGCTGCATTGAGAGTTGCTATCAGAAGCGCTGGACTGGAGGCATTGGGCTAAAGTGTCCCAGGGTATGGATGTAGGGTACAGGGTGTGTTCCTGACTATCTGAAAGCCACAACTAGCATGTCCTCTACCTCAGAACATAGGGAGCTCTGAGTCCACAAAAGCCAAGCCATATTGGGAAATGGAGCATATGCTGCCTGCCTCATTCAGGGAAAAGCACAAGCTCATCAGAAGCCATTTCCACTTTCTGGGATTAAAAATCTTCATTCTGGGGCCCATGTACAGGATGGAACTTAGACCCTGGGGTTATTGGGGGGTTCAGGAATGTGGAGGGCAGCATAATGGTTCCCTTCACCCACAGGTCCTACAAGGCTGGAGACAGGCCACATTTTTCCAATATCACATGAGACATGCCCATCTCTAGTGCCCGGCTACAGGAAGGACTTCTCCAGGCTAGGAGAAAAGGAATCCAATGGGGGATACCCTCTGCTCTGGAGGCAAGACATGGCCCAAACAGGAGCACCTTATTGTCAACTGGTGTGCATATAGCAAAAGGCCAAATCCTAGTCTCATCCCTTTTACAAATTTCAGGTAAAAGCCCTTCAAACATCTCTTACCTCAATGAGAACAGCTAGGACGGCAAGGCCATCTGGCTTGTCACTGGCGGTGCTTAAGTCAGGGTACAGGTCTGAGTTATAATGGACAATGTGCAGCTGTAGCAGGAGAGAAGACGACAATCAGGGGACAAGCAACTCACAGGAAACTCTACTTCTCTAGGTGACTTGACTCCCAACCCCTGTCCTGTCCTCCCCTCTCCCAGAAAAACTGAACTCCCCGCTAACCCCAAGTTTTCTATTTTTCCCCAATCCTCCTCAAACTGCAAACTCTATTAGGGCAGACTGTGTCTGTTTTACTCACTCATTGGACCTCCAGTGTCTGATAGGGTGCCTGGAAATTGCCAGAGGTACAATAGACATGAATGAATGCATTTATATTAACCATGAAAAGGCTTAGGTACTTTGGAGCTCCTATCCTTTCTGAGTGTTCCTACTTATTCTGGAGCTAGAGCAAAGGGGCCTCCTGTGGCTTGCCCGCCCTCAGCCAGGGCCTCTCTGCAATTGATCTGGAGGCAGTTGGGGCAGGAAAGGAACCTCCAGCTGTAATTTAATCATCATTTATATTCACAGGACACTTGCATTTATTCCTCATGTGGCAAAAATCACAGCATGGCTTTTATAAATATTTCATCAGTCATACTGTAAGAGGTTATAAGACAAGAATGACACTCCTGAATACAGACTTTAATCTTAATAAAATAACATTCGAACCTGTAGTTTTTTCAGGGCAGAAATTGCTTGATATTATTATAGAGAAGTTTTTGAGAAACCCTGGGTTTTAAAAGCCTAGATATTAAGAACAATCTTATGACAAATTCTGTCAATGTTTCACCTGACTTTTAATCCTAAAGGTGGTTGATACCACCTCCAAAAAACTTTACTGGTAGGTAGATCTACATGTACAACACGTGCATTTTTATTTATTCTTTGCCTTTAAGACTGTGTGACACACTGGGATTTTTATCTCTATTTCTTTTGTCCTATCCACCCATTTCTTTTTATTGACTATAGCTCATTGTCTCCACTTTTAGCTTAAGTGGCCCTCCTGAGTTTTAAAAAACTATGTCAAATTATTTTTTCTCTTAAATAGTCCTCTATTAAAAATCCAGTTAAGGATTTCTTAGGGGCCCCTGCCTCACCATCTTTCCCCCTAAAGGATGCAGCCTGGCACATTTTGGTCTCGCATGGCTTTGAGAAACAGAGTGGAATTCTATTTGGCTAAAACCCCCAAGATCCTGGGTCCTTTTTTTCTTTTTACAGTGGGTCTTTGAGCTTGTGTTCTGTTTGAGCATTCTTTTTAATACATTCAGATTAAATCAAGAAGGAGTAAAGACTAATCCACGCCCAGAGGAATTCCCTGCTGAGAGATTTAAGAAAGAATCTTCATCAGGCATGGTGGTACATTCCTGTAATCCCAGCTATGCAGGAGATGGAGGTAGGAGGATGGAGGTCTGATGCCCAAAAAGTGAAAGACCCTGTCTGAAAAATAAACTAAAGTTAAAAATAAACTAAAGTTAAAAAAAGGGCTAGGGATAGGGCTCAAGTGATAGAGCACCTGCTTAACAAGATAAGTCCTTGAGTTCAAGCCCCAGTACTGCTACAAAAAAACAGTTGTTTGTAGTCTCTATCCAGAGGAATCACTGAGGATCATCCTGATGCCTTTTCTCTAGTTCCGTTTTTGCCAGGCTTTTGGCCTGATGATTGACTTGATTCTAGTTAGACTACACTAACTAGAAATATCTTTAAATGCATGACTCCCCCCACCAACCTACACCCTAACTCCTTCTTCACTCCCCATGAGGGAAGTATAATGCTCAACATTGCATTAACCTGAAAGAAATCGTAGTTCTCAAGCTTCTGCTCTGAAATATATGAGCCTCCAGTAGTGCCATCCTATTGGGCCAGAATCCTATCCCTCTACACTTGTAACAGACCTGTAATTAGCCTGCGACATCAAGCAGCTCAGCAGTTATGAACAGAAGAGAATGCTCTTGCCAGTATCTACCGTGGGCTCCACTGGCTTATCAGTAGCGTTTATCTCCTTGTATTTAGTTCCCTGTAAACATGCAGTCACACCCCCAGCTCAGTGCTACAGGAAACTGAAACAGAGCAACCCAATGCGCGCCTTCCCTTCTCACTCCGCCACACACTAGTGGTACAAGAAGAATTCTCTGCCTCTCATTTTCCTTTGGGATCTTAGGTCAATATCTTAGGGTGACACAATGCTGTGCCAACATCCCAAACAACCTTCACAGAGTCTCTGATTTCTGTGATGCCAGTCATCCCTTGCTTTGTGACCAAGTAGAAGAGTGGCTCTGGACCTGTGTCCCCATGTTCCCACGTACAATCCATGTCTAGGGAGAGGAAAGACGGGATGGGATAGACATTTGTCAACAGCATGGCATGTGAAGAAAGACAGCAAAGTTTGGGTAGCAATGAGTCCACTATGATTTAGCAGTGGGATGCACCAGCCAGGAAAGCTAAACAGATCTTCATCTCAGAGAGAGGAGGAAGATGTCAAGATGTCCTGTCCAGGGAGCCTGACCTTCTCAGCAAAAGAGATGGAGACAAACTTAGAACATCAAGGGGAAGCAAGGGACCAGGACACCAAAGATGAGCTACAGGATGGCTGGACCATTCTGTGCCACTGACAGGCCAGCGGTGGTTGTGCAGATTGTGGAGTCAGCCCCGCCATCTTAACTACACATAGCTAGGTGGAGGAGGGACAGACTCACCATCGCCAGCCAGCCTCTGCAAGACCAGCTGTTCACTCACCTCGGCAGCAAAGTGCTTCCCACTGACCGTATGCTCAGAGCCATGGGGGTCATTGCGGTTCCCCCAGTGCAGGTGCAGCTGTTCAGCCCTGTATTGGTGGGAGTGGAGGCCCTGGATGTGCATGTCCGAGTTCAGGTTCAGCCTCACTGTGGGGGGGGAATGGAGGAATAGACTTCAGAGCCCTGGCTGGCTGAATGCTGCCAGAGAGATGTCAGGTAGACAACCCCAGCATGGGGCCCAGACGGGGCAGAGGGGCTGCAGTGACAAGGTACAGACCAGAGAGAGACAGCCTGCAGAAACCTGGCTTCTTTCCCTGAGAAAAATCCCTGTTTCCCTAACACACCTCAGGTGGCACCAGCACCTTCATGTTTCACCTTGGAAAATGATGCTGGAAGTACTAACACTAGCTTAATGAATAATGAATGCTTCTTTATATGTTCATGTATCAGACACCTGGCTTTGAAGACAGACCCTTTACCTTCCAAGACTGAGGATTATACAACAATAGCAATTATGAAGCACTTACTATATGCCAGATCCCAAAATACTTAGTCTAGTCTTCACAGTACTCATCAATATAACCATTTCCTCAAAGAGGTGAAAATTCTTCCCAGAGTCTGGCTCATAAGTAGTCAAGCCAAATTCAAACTCAAATATGTCAGACTCTATAAAACTCAGATGCCGGCCCCCAGCAACTGAACTGCATGATCCCTTGAGTAGGGACCCAGATGGCCCAGAATTCACTCCTGCAGTGCAGTCAATGGACCTGGTGTTCAGACCTCCTGCCTCCCCCATTCCAAGAGATGTGCTGTTCCAGAAGCACCTCTTCCAGCATCTTGCCTGAAGAGAGTGTGCAAGTCCTGTCTCAAAGGATGCCCCACCCAGTCCCTTCTCCTTGGTGCCTCCGTGGAGCCCCCTCCCTGCCAGATGGAAAAGGGCAGGCCAATTTGCTGAAGGAAGCTCAGACCTGCCCCTTCAGGTCTCTGAGGTCTCGCCTTCACCTGAATGGCCGTTATTGGTGAGGTTCAGCAGCTTGTCAGTAGACACATTGTAACCTTGAAACTGGAGGGGTGCAAGAGTGGCATCGTACTGGAGGATGTCACTGTGCAGGTCTATCGGGGACTGCAGCAGGCCCCCACATGACGGGTACTTCTTGGACCAGTTCTTCTCTAAAGGAGAGATCAAGACCATGATTTAGTTTTTCACAGTGTCACCCCTCACCTTCTAATTCTTTGTCCACTACGATTACTCAGAGGCTAACTGTTCAAGACTCAGAGATTTCAGCCTACAGAATCAGATCCAGCAAACACCTCAAGACCCCCTGCCATTAAAGTGATGTGGGGAATGAAGGACTAGAGCAGCCCATGCCAGAAACTAGAGCCTCCCACCCTCACGTAGGTTTACACAAAGCATATGGAAACCGCAGACTTTCAGCAATTTACTATCTGCCTACCGAGCCCCTGTCAGGAGCCAGGAATTGCTCTGGGTCTTGGAACCAGCAGGTTGAACACCATAAGGGCCCTACTCACGGAAGCTGGCATTCTATAAGGGAAGAATTTAATGATTCTGCTAGGCTGTACCAACTTGGGAAATCTGGTGTCTGTCTCACCAATGCTCCAGGTAGGTCTGGAGCAGGTGTGTTCTTCCTGATAAGACACTGACTCTTGAGTCTCACATCCAGAGTGCAGAACCCAACCTGATAGGGATGCTTGAAAAATGTCAAGTAATTATAGGCCTGGAATCAGAGAGCCAGGTGCAGGGTTTCATCTGGGGAAAAGTATGGCAATATTACAAACTAATTATCACAATATAATTGACAAACTGTCAGTGAGGAAGAACAGGCTTAAGAAAGAAAATTCTTCTTGCTAACTACCAGATAGCAATCCCTCCTCTGGAAATGAAAAAAATCCCATGTTCAGATAAGCTATTCTACTCCCACAGGGAAAAATCTTTAAAGAATGTAAATCTATGTTTAAAAGATTATCTCCCATGGTAATTAAACAGATTTTTTAGGTTGAGGTTTCTCCAGAAAAGCAAATAATTGGCGTGTTGTGGCTCGTTAAGGTAGAACCATGGTGCCCCGTGGGTTCCCACAGAGTTGGAAGTCAAGCTTTGCCACCCGGGTCCATTCATCAGGATGTGGACACAAAGAAGAGTGTTAACTAGGACAAAGGAAAAAGGAGCACACTTCTTGGGGGAGGGGTCCTTCCACAGACAATGTCATGCTCCACAAGCATGTGCATGCTGGCCCCACGGAACCCCAGCCCCTGACACCTTGTTCTCTAAGGAGGGACCTCATCTGAGAGTGGGGAGAATCAGAAGCAATACTTGGTACCCTTGTTCATTTAAAATGTTATAATAAGTTGGTCCCACACTCAGTTCTTCTTGGTCCGGACATATAGCAAAACTCCACTAATTTTTCAGATTGTCATAACTTTGCAAATGCTTTTTTGGAAAAGTGAGCACCTGAAGGGATTTCAGAATCTCCAGTCCAGCCTTTCACTGGACATGCCAGAGTCTCCACTGAGCTACACCGTTTTTATTTTCAAGGCCTCAAAGCCCCGGAATCAAAACAACTGAACTACAACTAGAAAAGGAAACGAGAATAACAAAGCAGCCACTCCAGGGGCTAACTGGAATAGGCAGTCACTCAGCTGGTAGCAGAGTAGCAGAGCCCAACTTTTTTAGGGGGAGCAGAGTGAAGCCATCAGGAAGCCTCATGCTGACTCCAGGGTTACGAAGAAACACAGTGCTGGATGGCAGGACTTCCCAAGGGATGCATCTCACAATTTCACCTGGGCCCACAGCCCAGCCAGGCATGAATAGAAAAACTCAGGAAGGAAAGAGATGTAGCAATGAGAAAACTTCTCCTTGCACACATGATTAAAAGGAACCATGTTAGAAGGATGTTCCTTTCCCACAGTGGAAGTCCAAATGGTTTCATCAAGGGCTGGGGATGCAGCTCAGTGGTAGAATGCTTGCCTAGTATGTGCAAGGCCCTGGATTCCAGGAACACACACACGCACACACACAAAACCCAAGAAGGAAAAATCTAGAAATCTTAGAGGAGGGCATCCTAGTGGTGACTCAACAAGAGCTTCTTGAAGACAAGGACAGCTCATTTCCTTCTCTGGAAGCCCAAGTCATGAGGAGGGTCACATGCCAGAACAGTGAGCTTGGGAAAGGTTTTCAGGAATAATTTTTCTTTTTAATTGTGCCCCAAACACACTACTGGAACTTAGGTATTTGGAGGTAGGAAAGACTAAGGATATTAAAAGCAGCAGAGCGTGTGGGTAAAACCCTTCTTGGAGAAGAGAAGCAACTACACTGAACCAGGAGAGTTCAGACAGTACAAGTACAGCACAAGCTGTCCCACCACATTGGTGAGCACCTTGAGCAGGCTGTATTCCCTGCAGGAGCCTCCACCACCTGTGGCACAAACAGGAGGGTTGGACAGTGTTCCAGCTCTCCAACCCTGAGATTTATGAAGAATATCAGAACTAAGCACTTCACCCTCTGCATCAGGCGAGTTTGGACGAGTTGCGGAGGGTTGCTCACGCCAAGGCAGCCACTGTGCATGTGACAAGACACCAGGTGGGAACCAACATCAGGAATGAGGGCCCAGGGCGCTGGTGCTCCTGGGCTGGGCCCAGGAACTGCCTTCTTAGAACCCTGGCTGCCATCCAGAGGCAAGCTCATCCTCGGCACAGGGCACAGGCCCTTGGGCAGTAGGGACTGAAAGAGCCTTTTCTGAACCTCTTGCTGCAGCATCATCATATCATCATTATTTTATTTATTTTATTTTAGTAATTTTGATTCTTACAACTATATAACTCTCTGGTGCAACCAAGGCAAGAATTATCCCATTGATGGATAAAATATGAGGTCAAGCTGTCCAAAGTTAGACTGTGGTTTAGTATCAGAGTTACTTTACTAGGGTTATGGAACTTCAGTGTCTTTTGTTCAGTATTTATCTAGGAGATTTTGGGCATCTGTTTCCTTTCTCTCCCACACTTCTTAGAGGGGCAGATTATGTCTCATTCATCCCTGCATTTTCTACAGTGCCTGGCACAGAGCAGGCCCTCACATGTTGACTGGGTTGGATTCTTGCACCTGTTTCCTGCTTATCCCCCTCCAGGGGCATCAAGCACCCACTTTAGTTTCCCCATCTATGGAATCACTTGCTCCCCATGTTCTCTCCCGGCTTTGTAGTTTGCCTGTGTGAGGAACCAGTCCTGTTTCAATCACTTCTTGAAAAAAAAATCCAATTTCTGCCCTGTAGCCTGTGAAATATGTGACTTCATAGACTTATAGTACCCTCCACCAGCTCACAATGACTCCTGTCCCCTTTTTGCATAGCTGGGGACATTGTTAAGCAGCCTCCTAAAAGAGAGAGAGAGAGAGAAATAACACAGGCTGGGCACCTGGACAACCAATATCAAGGGTGACAGCAGCAAACTTCTCGCTGTCCCCCGGCCTCTGTCTGGCCCATGTGTGACTTGTGACCACAGCAGTCCTGGCCTTGTTGCAACTACACTGCAGCTGCAAATTTTCAACTGAGTCTCAGTTTTCATCCTCTTGCCAAGGGCTCTGCTCCTAGAAACTCTGCAGGGAGCCACGTCCCAAAGCAGCATTTATCTTTGGCTACTGTAACACTTGACTTTGCTTCAAGTTTTGATTTCACCTCTTCAGTTGTTTGGATTTCTCTCATGATCGTGCTAAAAGAGATCATGTGTGGCTCACAGTTTGTTTTCCCAAATAAAATCAAGGCATTATTTCTTTCCAGTTCATGAATTTTTCTGCTCTAGGCAAAAAAGAAGTAGACTGTTTTGAGATGTAACAAGGGATTAACGTAAGCACAGCTCAAAATGCCTCTCTTGATTTCTGATGGGGAATTACAAAGCATGGGCTTCGAGACCTGCATTATCTGAGGGCCAGAATATTTATATGAAAAATTTCAAGTGTAGGGAGAGGGGCAAAATGAACCCCACATCACTCAGCTTTGACAGGTTACAATTCACACCAGGCCTGCTTTATTTTCACCCTTTACCTGAATCACTCTGACACAAGCCCAGATAAACTTCCTCTGTACATATTTCAGTATGTATTTTGACATCAAATAAAACAAATTTTATATAAAATAAAGCCACATCATCACCCCCAAAAGTTAAATTCAACCTTAATATAATCAAATCTAGTCAGTATTGAAAATTTTCCAAATGGGTTATAGCTTCTTAATAATTTGCTTATAAAATTCAGGATTCAATAAAGATTCACATATTGCAAGCAGTCGGTGTGTTTGGGCCTACATTACCCTTTGGTGGTGGGGACCCCACTCTCATGATGCTCGAAATCTCAGGGCCTGGCAAGCCCCATCCACTCTTTGGTGTCAGTTGCTCATGATGTGAAGCCCTATACTGCAAAGGTGTCAGGCAGGTGACCCAGACTCAGCCTTCCTTTTGACACTGCCAGGCTCTCTCTCTCTCCTGCTGTCACCAGATTCATCTTGTGGCATGGCCCATCTGAACACTTCTTTATCCCCAGTATGTCCTGCTTCCTGCCCTTCCCAAGTAAGACAAAGAAGAAACCCTGCTGTTTTTCAAAGCCTCAAAATACCCCAAACAGTCAAGGTCTTCAAAGGCCCTTACTTGTCTGCCCAGTCTATCCCCTGGTCAGGTCCACTTCTCCAGACTCTATTCCAGCTATCCCCACCAACTTTCACAAATGTTCTTATGCAAAATCTGTTTGCAAAGCCACCCTCTCCACCTTCCCAAAGCTCATCCATTTTTCAAAATCCAGTCCAAGTCCTGTCAAAGTGACATGAGTGCTTTCTTCTTCCTGACTGAACTTCTCAGCAGACCCACTCAGGATTCGCACAACAGCAGTGATTCCACTCATCTCAAGACGGCACACAAGCCTGTAGCAGACCAGAACTCCATGCACAAGTTTCAAAGACCTTCTGCAGCCTCTTCTCCTCATCTGAACACATAATGGCACTTCAAGAGTTGATTTTGGATAATTTCTTAGGCTCTTTTCAGAAGCTTAACTATAAAGGGATGTGTGCATGTGTGTGTGTGACAGTTATGAGAACACTTTTGTTTTGCTTTTTAATGAGCAAACTTGATCATTTTCTCTGCAGAAGGCAAAGAGAATAGAGAGGAAGGTTAGA